GACAAATGAATTTAAATCCAGTTTTGATACACACCATGGGGTCTTTCTTTTAACGTGTCTTTTCACCCCCCTCTACACTTCACGCCTTTCTCATTAAGCCCTAGTCGTCTACTTTCTAATCCCTACAAATGACAGCCAGGCATGTAAATCAACATGTTTACTGCGAAATGTTTCCAATTAAAAGAGGACGTTCGTTAAGAAGCATCAACGGACACCACTGGATCCTTAATTGTCTGGGATGCCAGTTTGGGATGCATATTAATTATGTATTAACCTCACATTCACAAGTGAACACACACAAATCCATGCAGACACATTAGTGTGTATTGCGTATTAATTACCCATTAGCCTTTGCTCTGTGCATTAAGAGCTGCATGGCATCAGAACGACAGCTTACCCAGGGGCTACACACATACACACACASGCACACACATTAATACCACCTACACCGCCTATTCAGGTTGAATTCACAATGAGGTATGAGCCATTTCAGTCATYCAGCCATGAACGGAACTAATTTCACCACAGGAAGTGTGACTGTGTGTATATTTAGCTATAAATATGCATTTGCAACTGTTTATGTTCCTTTTAATAGAGTTTAATAATTACGGCAGCTCGTCCTTGTCTAATAGATTGTCTGTCCTTATGTTTAGAAATTAAATATAGTTAGGAACCTAATGTTATAAAATAATAAAAATAAATGAATAAATTCTTTATAGAATTTTCTTGGTTATTTAAAAAAACGCTTTAGATTTGATCAAATTTTATTGCATGTTGTTTTAGAAATTAAATCTTTTTGCAGTAAAATAGTTCATTATGAATTAAAAAAGGACTTTTTTTGCATATAAGTAGTTAATGATTGATTTGAAATCACCTGTTATGTTTAGCAAACCTCTAAGTATCAACTTGTAATCCAGCTACTGTTCAGATTAAACATAAATTACACAAAGTGTTTTTTTTTTTTATATTATTTTTCTCTGACCTGCTTGGACTTTGAGATTTGGTCGTAGTGTAAGAAAATTTATATTCAATAAACTGAAGTCGAGATGATGAACACAAATGTTAAATAAAATGGTTTGTAGGATGAATGAAACCATACAACACCAGAATTCTGGAATCTGAGTGGAGGTTTATTCTGCGACTGCAGACCGGAAACCCACACTGCCCGTAAAACAGGAAGTTCATGTATTTATACAGTTTCTTCAATGCCTTCGCTCGCCCCCTGCTGACCTACGGCTGAGTCACAGGCATTCAGACAAAATTCTCTGCTAATGTCATTCAAGCGTTTTATTATGTGTTGTAAAAGATGTTTCAGACATGTCACTAGACGTATTTCAATCAAAACATAATAGATTAAACACTGTCAATATTTCAAAAAGGAGAACTTAAGAATATAGTGTTGTGCTTCTAACATCAGTACTAACCTCCCTAACTCTAAATTTCTTAAGTAGATTTCTAACGTTCTCACTCCCGACTTGTCAACATATTCATGATTGGTCAGAGAAAGTCCACTTCCAGTTTTGACGCGTCGGGTACCCCCGTGTGTCAGTCCTTGCCGCCCGCGGCTTTTGCGGGTTGCGACACTTAGGGGTCTTTGGGTTGGGGGTCTGAGGTTAATACAAGGGATCAGGGTTAATGGTTAATTTTAGGTACTGGGGTCAGGGATAGGCTGTATAATAGGCTAATAGAAGTTAAATTTTGGGACTGGGATGGTTAGTTTTGCACATTTCCTACTCTTAAAATATGACAACGTACTCGTCCTCCACCTCCTCACCTCGTAAAAAACTAACGCGCGAGGGGTACTCGACACGTCAAAACTGGACGCAAAAGGCTACCTGACCAAGCGTCAATATGTTGACGAGTCGGGAGTGAGAATGCGTTGAGATTTCAGACACTCGTGTCTTAATTTACATTTATTTTCATCATTTTATAGTAGTCATAGCTTCCATTGTTATTTTTTTCACACCATTTTAGATCTACTAGATACTGGATAGCGGTAGCAAATATGACCCCCGCGTGTAGGCAAAGCACCAATGCACCAGAGCTCAGAACTCACTTTTTGAGTTATAAACATTTTTGTATAACCCCCGCCCCACACACACACACACACACACACACACACACACACACACACACACATGCGCACACACACACTTTTCAGATGGAACCCCCTCCTTTAAATATGGAGTCTGCTGTAAAACCATTGACTGGTACAGTGAAGGTCGGATACATCTACATTCCTGCCAAATTTCATGCTGCTAGGTGCATCCCAAAACTTTGTTTTGGGGTTGGTGTTAGGGTGGCTCATTGGTGGGCCCGTTGGATAGCCTTTCATCAGAGCTTAAAAAAATCTGAGGCTCCTATGTTTAATAGTTTTTGAGTTAGAAGCATTTTTGTATGTATGTCCACCCACTTTCCAGATGGAGACCCCTCCTCAAATGAATTTGTTAAAATCCAGCGTTAATCCTTATTAGCTATTAAAAAGCAAAGTTTCATGTTTACGTTTTTTATTATTATTGTGGCATTCATGCTCATTTACATATTTTGATTACAAATGTTTGTATCATTTATATATTTCTATACAACCTAGAGGAGAACATTTTAATGCAGGGTTATAAAAAACATCATGGGACTCTCATTATGTCTCACTTCTTCACACCACTACATTTGAAGCGAATGCAGCACAGACACACCAGAATGTGAAGGTTTTCAAAAAAGAAGAGAAATTTAAATATAGTTAATTTGGCCACTGGGGTTTCAAAGATGAAGTCGAGKAGAACTGTATCCCCAGTAGTAATCCATTCAATTGCATGCCATAAATGACTGTGTGCTGTTGTGTGTGTTTGTGTACATTATTTACTTTTTTGTCTGCTCTTCAGGCACAAACCAGATACATTCTAATGTGCTAACAYACCATTTGTGGATCCTGGTATAACATTTTAACTGAGACTGGAATAACATTAGGACTAGGCATAAATTGGTATTATCCTAAAATGAATAAATGCAATGACCAGTGTAGGGTCGACATTGTGTGTGATTGGCAAACGATGAACAAATAATTTAGTGAATTCATGGCACAAGCAAATATATCTTTAAAAAAAGACTTTTGTTTTTAAATCAAAGACTTCAATTTCGGCTTGTTGCACAGTTGTGGTAGAATGGGGATTCCCCGTTCCAAACGCATTTGTTAAAGGCTTTTCTTGTCTTTGTCTGTGTGCACACATGTGCACGTGTGTGTGTGTGTGGATGTGTGTGTGTACTAGAAGAGGGGAGACTCTGAGTGAACCGGGGCAGAGGGAGAATTTTTCACAACTAATGTTCCATGACAACAGACCAAGGTTCCGTCAAGGTGAATCAGACCCTCTGCTGGCTAACGACTGAAACACACGCACAGCGCGCACACACACACACTCGCATTATCCCACCTCTATTGTCTTCTCCTTTTGTCTCTCTCCCTCATTCACAACCGCCACGTTAAATAGATGAGGGGAGTTCAGGATCCTCAACTTGTTTGTCGTCTTTTCTCGGCCGCGCCTCACCTCCCATCTTCAAAATCAAAATGTCATTTAAAATTTAAATGTRGGCCTGCTTCTATTTTGTAGGCGACTTTTGTTTTCAAGAGTTTAATTTCCTCTTTATATATTTAGGGGCTGCAGTCGCTCGGTGGTCAGTGCCACAGTCTTGTAATGTTTGTGCTCAGGTAGTGTCAGAAAGAGCATCTGGCATAAAACAATTACCAAAATCCTCTTGTGAGTTTGTTCGCTGTTTCAATCCCTACAGAAGGGGACAGTCAGAAGAAAAAACAACTTTCTCTTTTATATATTTTCACCTGTTTTCTGTGCTATGTGCGCATAAAACAGCTAAATCAGAAGGAAAACTATGCTGTGGACCAGTGATGTGTKGGCTTGAGGTTGCAGCAGTGGTGACAGATTGTTGATGTATTCCTGAGTGTTAACATTCCAAGTGCATCACCCTCCTGTCTACATGCCCCACTTAGATCAGTGTCTGAGTGTGTGTTTTATGTCAAACAGTGCTTTCTTGTATTTTACCTATTTAATTGTTTTGCATTAGGGATGCACGATATATTGGTATTGATATCAGTATCGGCCGATATTGGTCATTTTTTAGAATATCTATATCGGTCCGATATGTAAAACAGGGCCGATATTAATGTCCTATACTGATTTCTCATTTTTATCTTCGTGTTTCTGTTTTGGGAGGGGAGATGGTTGTTTGAGCAGCATCTGTTTGATCATGATAGTGATATTTACGCTGCGCAGCCAGGAATAACTGAAGTAGGGATCATGTCAGAGGTCTGGTTGTTTATTTACAGTATCAAAAAAGACCCAAGTGTGTTTTTGTGTATATGTATAATATAATATGTGTGTTTGTGTAATATCGGTAAATATCGGTTATCGGCCATAACACCAGTTATTATATCGGATATCGATATCAGCTGAAATTTTCATATCGGTGCATCCCTATTTTGCATTCGTTTTATAAACAGAATCATTATTGAGCAGTAAATGTAAGAGCAATTTTTTTTTCAGAAACAATTTTAAATTGACTTTTTTTAAAGGATTGAAAAAGTAACTGCAAAGGAAAAGACTAACTTTTTGACAAAGACAATAAACTATGAATAACAAGACTGGGATGGGTGGGTTTGTTGAAATAAGTAATCCTGAGAGAAACACAAGCGGAAATCTGACTTCAAAAAGAACGGGGGAAAAGAAGTGAAAATGTGACAGAACCTTCTTTTTCTTTYCAGACTCTAAAATAAATGTATGTCTCTAATGGGAAAAAAACCCCTCAAACACAGTCATCCAAGAAACAACTACTGTGAAGTTGAGTTTATCTTTTCTAAAGAGGGGGGGAGCTGTTGTGTTTTTTCTTTCACACTTTCATGCTTCTATCCTCTCTTCTTTGTTTTCATGTCTGCTTTTATCTCATCTCTCCATCCATGAACTCATGTACTCCTCTTCTCTGCTCTGCTGTTTCAGTGTGCAAAGTGGGCTTTTACCGCTCTCAGCTGGAGTCTTCAGCCTGCAGTAAATGTCCACCTCACAGTGTGGCCAAGCAGGTGGGAGCCACGAGTTGCAACTGCGAAGATGGATACCATAAGATCGACTCTGATCCTCCTAATATGGCTTGCACACGTGAGGACTGAACACCTGTTTTATTTGCATAATCCTGTGATTTTTCTTTAGGTAGTTTCTCACTGAGCTGTGACTTGTTGGCAAACATCATTCATGAGGGATTCTCCAGAATGTCTTGTGACAGTTGCGGTGGTTTGCAGTTCTCACAGAAGCTTGCAGTTTTGTTGCTTGAGTAGTGAACATGCTCTGAGCTCTGTGCAACAGATTTGATCTCAAAACACTTTTTTTGGATGTCTCAAAGATGCACTGCCTGGCCAAAAAAAAAGTCACTACCAATAAAAAAGGTCACACTCTCTAATATTTCATTGTACCGCTTTAGCTTTGATTACAGCACACATTCATTGTGGCATTGTTTCGGCAAGCTTCTGCAATGTCACATGATTTATTTCCATCCAGTGTTGCGTTAATGCTTGGCCAAGATCTTGCGTTGATGATGGTAGAGTCTGACCGCAGTGCAAAGCCTTCTCCAGCACATCCCAAAGATCCTCTGTGGGGTTAGGGTCTGGACTCCGGCGGCCAATCCACACGAAAATGATGTCTTGTGCTCCCTGAACTCTTTTACAGTTTGAGCCCGATGAATCCCGGCATTGTCTTCTTGGAATATGGCCGTGCCATYAGGGAAGAAACAATCCATTGATGGAATAACCTGGTCATTCAGTATATTCAGGTAGTCACCTGACGTCATTCTTTGAGCACAAACTGTTGCTGAACCTAGACCTGACCACCTGCAGCAACCCCATGTTATAGCACTGCCCCCACAGGCTGGTACAGTAGACATGATGGGTGCATCACTTCACCTGCCTCTCTTCTTACCTTGATGCGTCTGTCACTCTGGAACAGGGTAAATCTGGACTCATCAGAYRACATGACCTTCTTCCATTGCTCCAGAGTCCAATCTTTATGCTCCCTAGAAAACCAAAGCCTTTTTTTCAGTTAGTTGATGATTTGGCCCTTCTCAAACAGACTGACATCTTTTCCACGACCAYGAGATRTCTTTCAACATGGTTGTTTAAGAAATGAGAAGCAACTCATTGCACCAGTTGGGGTTAAATAACTTGTTRCCAGCTGAAAGATAATCACCCATGCAGTTATTATGCAATGTGTTATTGTATCTATTTGCTTAGTTAAATCCAGGTGGCMACTTTWTTWTTTWTTTGACCAGGAAGTKYATCTTGAATGCATAGGAATTTTATTGTTTGCATCTTCAACTCATCTCAAAAGCACCAGAGCTATGTTTTGCAACCTGTGCAGGATAACTATTATGATAAAACAAATCAAATTTGCCTATCTTCATTTTTGAAAGGTGTATTTTAGCAGGTTAAATTTAAAATAAATTCACAATGCAAGCTGAGCTGGGTACACTGTGAGCAGAGGTGGTCAAGAAATTAATGCCAGACAGTTTCCAACAGTCACAGTCAGGTGTGATTCTACTTTTTACAACTTATCGTTCATCAAAATRCATTTATATGATTTTACTAGCAGTGTTTTATCATTCTTCTAAGCAGCTTTTACTTTCCTCAGGCCCTCCCTCTGCACCACGTAATGCYATCTCCAATGTTAATGAGACCAGTGTCTTTTTGGAGTGGTCTATCCCCATGGAGACGGGCGGCAGGAAGGATGTGCGCTACAACATCCTGTGCAGACGGGTTTTGCCAGACAGCAGGGGACTGGAGGAGTGTGGCCCGAACGTACGCTTTCTGCCACGGCGAATTGGCCTGTCAAACACCTCCGTGATGGTTGCTGACTTGCAGTCGCACACCAACTACAGCTTCCTGCTGGAGGCCGTCAACGGGGTGTCAGAGCTGGCCAAAGACTACGCTAAGCAGTATGTGACACTTAACGTCACGACCAATCAGGCAGGTATGTTGCACTGTTCTTCTATTTATTTATTTTCTTTCATTTAAAGGGATCCACGATTAGTTGTAATGTTAGACTTTACTTGATAAACATTTATTTTAACTGTAAAATAAAGACTGTAAAAATACTGTAGGCTGTTTAGCATTTAAAATTTTTAAAAATATATTTTAACACGGATGAAGCCATTTTATTTACATGCAAAGCTTTCTGGGTAAATGACGTGGTATGGTCCTCAGTGTGAGCGAGCTATATCCACCCTGAAGGTTAATCTTGGACAATATCTGATGATTGGCTCTTTTAATTGAAACCAGAGAGCGTTGACAGAGAGGAGAAGGTAGAAATGACTCAGCCTGAAAATGTGGATGGAGAACAACAAAGCTGCTTCATGGAAGAAGAACCTCAGCTTAACCTGTTAGCCTTTGCACTAGCACTGATGCTATATTGCCTTCATCCATATTTTCAGTTGCAGGCTGAGTCATTTTTGCGTTTCCCTCTCTGTCATGTGGATGGAGGACCTCAGTGATGAGAGGAGAATGTGTAGCGCTGAGCTAATAGATATATATGGTGATAGCATCGGGGCTAACACTAAAGCTAACAGGCTAAGCTGAGGTTCTTCTTCCATGAAGCAGCTCTGTTGTCCTCCATCCATATTTTCAGTTCCAGGCTGAGTCATTTCTACCTTCTCCTCTCTGTCAACGCTCTCTGCTGTCATTCAAAAGATCCAATCGTCAGATATTGTTCAAGATTAACCTTCAGGGTGGATATAGCTCGCTAGCAGCCTCGCACCGAAGACCTACCCACGTCATCATTTACCCAGAATGCTTTGCATGTAAATAAAATGGCCCCATCCGTGTGATATATTTTTAAACTTTTAGTATAAAATGATAAAAACTAAACAGACTACRGWATTTTTACAGTCTTTATTTTACAGTTAAAATATATGTTTATCAAATAAAGTCTAATAKTACAACTAATCAGGGATCCCTTTAAGAACYTCCTTGATCTCACTGGGAATTTACTTTTTATTGAAACTCTTGAAGTCTGTGATGCTTCATTTGTCACATGATTTTAAACTGCCATTGATAGTTGGGAGAAAATGATGTTRTGTTGTGGACAGCTGATGAACAAGTGAAGTGGATTATTTTGTTTTTATCTCACATATTCCTTTAAATGTACAGTATTCAATAATGTCATAAGGACATGAGCATCCGTATGAACTCCCTGAGCAACAAATATGTAGTTCAACTGCCCCCCACAAACACACACACCACCCACTACCTCTGTTGTCCTTTTCCTTTTTCTTGAAGAGGTCCAAATGATCCCTAATTAGTGAACAGATTTATTTCTACTTCCTAAATTAATTCACCGCAGATGATTAGCATGTCGGTTTCCAGGCACAAATAGCTGAGTGTGAAAACAAAAGACAACAGATGATCAAATTATCACAGTATTTGTCCAACAAATCTGTCGCTGTAATAATTTTCACTTATGCATCATCCCTGCCGTGAACACAATAAAGCGTTGCGCTGGGGAGAGATGGAGCTTGTTTTCTGCTATCGCATCCCGATACTGTTTGTTATCAAAAATAAAAAGAACTCGGCGTGATGCATTTCATCAATAGGATTCACAGGAATCTGTGACATAATGAAGGTCCCTGAGTGTCAGGCTTTAACGTCTGCATGTGTTTGCTGTCTTGTGTAGTAGCAGGTGTTAATCTGAATGTCTGTCAACAGTGATGAATCATGCTGATGATTCAGTTTACTGTACATCTTATTTTTGAGTGTGGAAGTGCTGTTTTTGACATAGTAAATCCTGTTTAAAATGTTTAGCCAAATGAWTTGGAGGGGAGGGGAGGAAACCCTCTGGATATTGCACATAAATACATTTTGTATATCTGTTGGCTCCGTATGAAATGTGCACTCATCTGCTTTGGAAACTCATGCTTAGTTGTACAGAAATTATGTGCTTGTAGCTCAAAACTGTTCCTAAGTTGTGGGTTAGAGTGCGAGTGGTTGGTTGTCCCGTTTGTCTCCACGTGGTTCTATGATGAGCTTGCGACCTGTTCTAGGTATGCCCCACCTGTCACGCAGTAGCCGTGTTTCCATCCAATTTTAATGCACATTTTGAGCAAACTTTTAAAATGTTGCAAAAAAAAAAAAAAGAAGTCAGACGTGTTTCCATCAACTGGCTTGGAGTGAATCAAACAGGAAAAGCAAAGTGTAATTACGTCAGACGCCGATGTTATATGGCTGTAGTAAACAGGAAGTAAAGTCACAAACTCAAGGGAACTCTCTGGACAATGAAGGGAGGTAATCAGGAATGTTTTGCAGCTATCGGGAAAGTTGTAATTATCCTGTCATATCAACTAGTATTAGCGACTTAGAAAAAGAAATTCAATTATTTTCATGTTATGGGAAAATCCAGGAAAACACTGACAGAGGAGGGTCCAGCTACAGCAGCGTGTACAATTACTGGACAGTGGGAAAAGCTGATCGAGGCAAATTTTCTATTCTGCAAAAGTGATTCTATCTCCCCTTTTGCGTATTATCTGGTTTTCGGAAAATCCAAGGGAGTTCAAGAGTTTTTCCATTTCCATCCACCTTTTCCAATGTGATGCTTCAAAATGTGCATAAAAAAGTAGATGGAAACACGGCTAGTGACTGCTGAAAATAGACACCAGCTCTCAATGATCAGAAAGGAAAAAAAAACAGGTAGAGTAAAAAATGATAGATATGTTCTTGTGTAGTTTACTTTATTAGCTTGTAATGAAACGGGAATTACACATGATAGGAAAATGAGGGTGTGAGGGTACTGTTCTCCTCTTCTAAGCCTCCATCTGGAAGAGAGGCAAAGGGAAGAAAAAAAAGCAGTGTTGAAAGATATGTTTGCTACATTTTGTTGAACAGATGGCTCGTTGGCAGTCAAAGAGCAGTAGATAGTATTGCTAACAGCGTCAGTAGAAGTAGCGGTGGTAATAAAGAGCCAAATAACAGATATGATTTGTCTGTTAGAGAGAGGCAGATGGCTGTCTAGGACTCGAGACTGCTGACAGTCCTCTAAATGTCTCGTCACTGTGGTTGTCAGCGGACTGAGTGGATTACACCAGAGTATAAAACTCACGTTCAGTTTATTGGAGTTGTAGCTGGATTAGCCAGTCACTGGACCAAATGGAGATTTAGGATTAGGTTAGATTACTTGTGGCAGCCAGAGTTGCAGTCTGATAAAAAAAAAAGTGCTTCTCTTTGACATTGGTTGGGTAAAGCTCAGAATGTCAGTAAGGCTGTGGGGTGTAGATTTTCAGGATCAAAGGTATTTTTAAACATCTGCAAGCTATTATAGATCAGGGGAAAATATACTTAGTTTACTTCTCTCAGCAAAAAGTACAAAAGAGGACGGAAAAGTAAATTGTGTTATGTTTGTTGTTTACAGTTGCATACTTTGACATTTAAGACCTCAGACAATGAAAAAAAGATTTTGATTGTGATAATGCATTGTCCATTTAAGATTTTTTTCACCACAAATTGATGCATAAAACCCAAACTGTTGCATTTAAAATGTTCCATATTGCAGAAAAAAAGGTTTTGATGCTCAAAATGTCTTGGCTAGAGACCCCCAGGCCCCCTGCTAAGTGCAAGAAACGTTTATTAACGGTAAACAACTGAGTCTACTCCCACGCTATGCAAGGATTCCATGAAAGGCGCCGTGTTTCACGAAACACGGGTGTTGATCTATACACTGTAACTGTAGATTTTTAACAAGAGACTCTACCTGCATCGATATGTTTCACTTAGCGGTGCCTTGAAATTCCGCAGGTGAGAGAGAAATTTGGTGCATTTTTGTTGTTTGCTTGCAGAACCCAGCAGCCATCGCTTTGTTTTTAATGAAGCAGGGAGGAGGGAGGTCTCCTGTTGATGTTGCTACAATAGTTAGAATAAAAAAAACATTAATGTTTTGAAACTTTTACCAGATTTTTACTCAAAATCCAAGAACTTCTTTATTACTGTATGTATGCAGAATGTATTTTCCTCCACAAGATCAAATAGGCAATGCAGTGCCAGCAGCAGGAAGCCATTAAGGTGTGCTTGTCAGTTTGATGCCACTACATTCAGTACTAATGACTAACAGTGTTACAGGAGTAATAATGGTAATGAGCAGTTTAACATCTTCTGATCTATCCTGCTTTATGTCATAACTGCAATTACTAAAGTCTGAGGTCATTGCTGCAAGCAACTGCATTTTGGCTTGCTTCTGTGTGACAATGATTGTTGACTAGGTTTTTTTTTTTTTTTTTTTGCTTTTGGTGGTAAAGACCCAAAAAAAGGCATCTAAAGCAGAACTTCTGGAAGACTCAGAAGGTCTAAGGTTTAACGGAAGGAAAGTGTCACACAGGATGCGGAATCAAAGAAATGTGCAGTTTCACATTCTTTCCGTGAAGCGCTGCTAAATGATAAATTGTGTGACGAAAGGAACTAACTGGGAAACGGCAAAAACTAGAGAAGAAGGATGAGAACAGAGCAACAGGGTGGAATTAGAGGGGATAAACTGGAGGAGAGAAGACGGGGAGGTTGTTAGAAGTAAAGGCGAGGTCACGCAGCAGGAAGCTGTGAGTGAAGGAAAGCAAAAAGTTAGTTTTTATACTGTTGCTTTTTTGCAATACTACAGTTTATTATTAAAAAATATAAGAAATTGCAAAAAAAAAGGTTCAAATTACAAAAAATAGAAATGTACCAATATGCATTACTATGTAGTCTTTCTAAAATTAAAACATTCTTGCCAGTTGCCAGTAGGGGACGTTGAACCCCCGCTTGCATTCACTACGTTCACATAACACGACACGGGTCAGGTGATGGGGCACATGATTCTATGAACAACAGAGCCAATCAAGCCTATTGTTAGTCAATGACCCTCTTTTGCATATGACTAACCTGTTTGTCCATGTGGAGGCAGGGCTTATAAGGCTGAGTTCACCTGAAACTCATCAGACTGAAGAAGTCTCTTGGAGGAGAGACGAAACGTTTCACTAAGGAAGAACCAATTCAGAGGATTAACTTATTTTTTTCTTTTTGATTCTTGCCAGTGTTAGTAAATTCTTCATTATGATCTACTTTCTTTAAAATGTCTGTCAGTAGATTATTCATTGCACCCCAAACTCCCAGCTCTATTATTCGAAATCTGATTAACTTTTTTTTTCACGTGAGAGGTAATTACTAAACATTCTGTCTCATTGATTTATACCCTCACTGTGGTACAGCAGCGTTTTGTTTTCCCCTTAAACATTGTGTTTTACATTATTTGTTTATTTCAAATTATGTTTTAATGTTGTTCCATGTTGGAGCATTGCGTGCTAAACAAGCACCTACTGTGCATACATTAATTCTGCTGTTGCTTGCCATCTATCAAATGAACTGTGATGCATTATCTCGTGTCTTACTGGTGCTATGAATTTAGAATAGATGTGAATTGGATGCTGTTTGTTTCAAGCTTGGTACTGATACAGCAGGACAAATACAGAGAAAAAACAGCAAATGTCACAAGCAAAGAAAGTAATTGTGGCTCGTTTAACTGCTGGTTCTCAGTTTTTGTTTGTGTATTTTTTGGGGGATTCACATGAGGCACAGGGTCAGGTGTGAAAGGATTAGGAAAAGCTGTTATTTGAGTTAACTTTTGGCTGTTTCTAGGTAATGCCAAACTCCTGCATCCTTGATGACATTTATGAATCTTTCTTCAAATCTATTTATTTTAAGCACCGATTTTGTCACACTTGGTAAATCAAAGGGAAGACCTTGTAAATGAAATATGCATTCCCAGAAAACTGCCTCCGTCCATCTGTTAAAAGGTCAGGTCACGTGGTTAACGGGTCCAGGAGGTAAATTCAGACGCCCCTTTCTCCATCTCTTCATTAGAACTTCAGCAAATGTTACATTGCGACTACTAATAAATTTATCTGCCTCTCATTTTTACTGTAATTCATTGTGTCTCAATATGTCTTTCTGACAATCTGCAATGGTCTTTATGAGATAATAAACCAGACAGGCGAAGGCTTGCATTGATTTTTGGTGCTGGGGCAGACAGATTGAAGTCTGAGAGGCTTATGTCCAGCACTATAATAAAATTGTGCTGGTTTGAGGCCAGAGTTAATGTGTTGGGTCTGGTCTCATCCAGTAAAGTGGTTTTTCACCCTTTTATGTACCTTCTTTTTTTAAAAATAAAAACAAGTTTTACCCCGTGATAGTTTTATACCAAACAGAAAATTGCTTAAATGGCTGATGTTCAGACAGCACCAGTAGCGGAGGCACATTTGGGTTCTGCAGTCGCACTCTGTTGGTGTTCGTCAGCAGATGTAACACTCACTGGAAGTGTTTAAACAAGGAAGCGTCATTACACTGTCTACCCGTTTGCTAAAATAAAAGTGTTGCTTGTGCCCGTCAACACTCTTTCAACAGGTTTCTTCCTCATGGTCTATTTAATATTTGGTTTCTCACCTTTTTCTCTCTCTTTTGTTCTTCTGCCTGCTTGTTTTCCACTCATTATTCTATTACACCCCACCTCTTTCTGTCTCTTGGTAACTTCTTCAGTAATTCAGTAGTTTTAATACTGTTTTGGGTACATACTGTACATACTAGGGTTTTTGTCATTAAGAAAAAAAAAGTTTGCATTAAACTGAAAATAAATTGAACACTAAATATGTTTGATTTTTATTGTTTTAAATCTTGTTTCAAGTATTAGTTTTACATGTTGCAGCCTAACGGACTAAACAAGAAAACATAGAGAAATGTAGAATTGAAACCATGTCAAATATATTCAATACATTAAAAATCATATGCAATATATATTTTGTTTACGGGGCTAAAGTTTGTCAGTCATTAAAAATGTCAAAACTACTTTGTACTCACAGGTTATTTTCATAATTTAAGTGAAATATCAATAAATCATGTTTTTTTTTTCCGTTTTTGCAAGTAAAGTTTGAACACATCAAAACAAAAGACCTCCGTTTGGCTTTTTCTCTACCCTTGTGAAAAATATACATGCTTAGTATACTAAACCTTAGCATACTTGGGTATACTTGAAGCCAGACTAATCATCAGCATTCTTAAAGCATGCTATTATATAATAATTAATTTTGTACTAAATATAGTTGTAATTAAATTTAAGAAAATTACAATTTAAATTTTATTAGGTAAACTATTATGTACTAAAGTGGAAAAACTTCATGTACTTTGTACATTTTAGGTATACTGTGCTTGATTTACCAATAATATGCATAATTAGTAAAATTTAAGAGTACTTTTTGTAAAGAAATTACATTTGAATTGTGGATGTCTTCTAAATTCATAAGCATAATATTTTTAAAATATTATTATTGTGATGATAGTAAGCTTTTTTATAATTAGGAAGTAAATTTTTTAGCTACTTATTAATATCCTTTTTTATTCTGTTACTTTGTACATTAAATGTTTTACTTCATATCAATGTACTGCAAACATATTAGGCTACCAGTATACTAAGGTTTGAATTAAATAAGGATACATATTACTTTCATCTTTAATGTATTTCAGGAAGTTTTTATTGTGTTTATTTACCTAATTTCCCTTTGGGATCAATAAAGTATTTTTGAATTGAATTTCTTACGTTCAGTTAACTGTTGTCAATCAATTATAATGCATTTTTAACAACAGAAAATGTCAAAAATATTTCTCTTTGAGTAGTTGCTGAAATGCATGTTTTTGTTTTGTTTTTTCATTATTTTTTACAATATTGTACTGCCTGAATATCAAATCAGGCTGTTATTATCTTTTATCCTACTCCTATGGAATCCTCCATTAAAGCCTTTTGATTAATACAGCATCAGAAACTGCCTCCATTATTGGAGGATTTAAACTTGGTGTATTGTTACCCATAAAGCAGCTGAGAAAATAAGCCTTAGCCCATCACTGAATCCCCACCTTTACACGGTTTAAGCATTAAAAGTGTGTATGTGTGTGATTTAGTGTCTGGTTTCCGGCTTTTAAGATCTTGCAGATAACACTTCTGTGCAACCACCTCTCAGGCTACAGTTACTGTGTTTGTAGCAATGATTTATTCCCTATGGAGTTCTGCTGAGACTATTGAAACCTAAACGCTGTTTAGAATTTGCAGAAAACACACACTGCTCCCAAGCACGCACGCACGCACACTCACACACTCGTTAACCATCAGGATGTTGCCTGAGGGAGCATTTTGCCTGGTTAAAAGCTCTTTGTGTCAGACTCTCCCAACTGTCCCTCTGAGAGATGGCTCAACAGTTCAGGTTACAACAGGATGGCTTTTGTGATTGATGCAAACTCAAACAACTCGGCTCTCGTGGCTTTGAAGTGAAAGGGAAACTTTATCGTAAATCAAAAAGTGAAAACTTTTCAAAAGAGACAAAGACAAATGAAAAGTATAAGAAGCGTTGAATTAAACGAGTTCAAAGTACATAAAAATAAAAAATATTTTTAATTTCCTATTTTTGGTTTTGGCTTTACATGTTTGAGTTTTTTTTTTTCTTTTCCCAACCTGTTAAATTTAGTAGCCACACAGGGTGGTCACATTAGGAGGCACTGAATTAGGATCATTAACTCATTTAGAGGTATTATATAATTAAAATACATGTCTTAGAGGCAGATCTGCTGCTGAATTGGTTGAATTAGAACATAGTTAACTGAACAGGAAGGTGAATGTGAATCCTAAGAGAGTTTAAAGCAGAAAAAATAACCCACAACAGAAAAATTCTGATCAGAAATGACTGGATTCTAATTGGAAAAACTGCTTCTCTACCAATACTCTTTAAAATCTGCTCTTTGTTGTTTTTGTGTGCAATTCATTATTTGTCATGTTTTCCTAATTGTTACAAATTCTGATGATTCTTGACAGCTTTTACAACAATAAAACAATTAGTTTTTTTGTGTATTTTATGTTAATTAGCTGATTATACCACTGTTGCATATTTTTGTTATTTCATTTTCTAGAATTCACAACGTGCTGCATTTCCTTTTATCGAGCCACGTCTATTGTGATGTTTATGTGAAGTATTAGGCCCTTCAAACTGTGTGTTAAGATGCCTGTGTGTTTGCAGCACCCTCCCCTGTCAGTGTGGTGAGGAAAGTACACACGGGGAAAAACAGCATCGCCCTTTCCTGGGCAGAGCCCGATCGCCCCAACGGCATTATTCTGGAGTATGAGATAAAGTATTTTGAGAAGGTAAAACTATTTTGTATATAAATTAATTAATTAATGAGTTATTTTTTCCAAAAGATTCTTCTGATGGTTTTGTTTGCATTTGAATAAGTCTGATTAGCTGATTGCACATTTAAATTAAAAAAAGCAGTTTATCAGGCAAAATGTTTCATACTGAACTGTCTGAATGTTGAAAATCAGAAATGGCAGCTTTTAAAGTTGCCAGAATCCAATGAAAAGAATAGCTTTGTTGATGGTAAATGTTTAAAAAAGGAAATGGGGTGATATTAGTTTGGTTTGTCTATTTTAGCTTCTTTACTCCCAAGTTTTATTACATTAAAGTTCATGCAGGATTTTGATTCTTCTATTTGCATCGCTGTGGTTGAGGTGCCCTTGCTTTTTTTCCTTATGTCATGTCCCAATGTCTTTTTTTTTCGGTGGGAAGGTCAGCTCACAGGAAATCAGAGTGCAGTCGGTGGTTTGCTAATGGCTTTTGAGCTTAATGGGAGGAGCATTTATTTTTGTTTAAACCTGATGTGGTTACGGTTAGGGAAACTGATCTTCGCACAAAACCATTTAAACACACTTACTTTACGCTCAGCTCTATCACAGCTAGCTAGCTTGACCAAAGCAGTGTGTAAAAACTGTAATTTGAACTCAAATGCATGTGCAGAATATTTAATAGAGTAAGTGCTTTACTGGGCACATTATACAATTCAACTAACAAAACATTTTTTTTTGAAGGAGCAGGACTCCAGTTACACCATAATAAAATCCAAGGAAACAGAAATGGTGGTGGAAGGACTGAAACCCTCATCTGCCTACATCTTCCAGGTGAAAGATGTGATCACACATTTAGTTAGCTATCATTTAAAACAAAACAGACAAAAGAAAGTATGTCATAAATGAATGACAAAACTAAAAGTGTGGGAGACAAAGATATAAATGAAACCAAGTAAAACACATGAGTTTGAAAATATTAGTGACGCTTATGTTGGACTTTGTCCTGATCAAATCCCACAGGTACGAGCCAGGACGTCAGCGGGTTATGGTGCATTTAGCCGACGCTTTGAATTCCAGACAAGCCCTTACTGTGAGTACACCGTGACAATACAATCAACAATGGATGCCAGGTGCAGCTTTGTGTGCTTTACGGCCTGTGTCTGATCCCACATCTTTTTTCTTTGGCAGTAACTGCCACCAGTGAGCGTGCTCAGGCTTCCATAATAGCAGTGGCCATCACCCTGGCTCTGGTTCTACTGGCAGTGGTTGCTGGATTCCTGCTCAGTGGACGGTAAGGCATAAATAAACACCTGGGAGGGAGTGTTTGCTGGTGTAAACACAGATAAGAACATATTCCATTCTTACATAGGTGGATGTGGTGAAAGAAATGAGACTGCTTATATGCCTCCGTATACGTAGAGGCAAACCTGTGGTTTGTTTCTTATGTAGGATCCAGGTAGTGATATCTGGGTAGTTTGTTTTCCAGTTAAACTTGGAGCCTTTTTTTTCAGTAAATGATGGTGTTGCATCGATGATGGATTTTCTAGTAGATCCGATTTTATCTATGATCAGTAACTTTTTGACATATATATTGATTGCCTGCTTTTGTTCATGGTTTGTTTCTTTTTGTGATATTTAAACAACATTTACCAATACTATCCAGAATATTTTTTGCAAAAGGGGGATAAGATAAGATGAGATGAGATGAGATGAGATAAGATAGAACTTTATTGTCATTGTACAGAGCACAATGAAATTACAGTTCAGAACACCCATTCAGAAGAAGACAGGACATAACAAACATAGGAGAATAGGTGCTCTGGGTCATGCTGCCACTGACCCTGCACAGAGCAAGGATCATCTTCATGAAGACATCATGAGGAGTCACAACTGTTAACAGAAAAACTAAAAAAAAAAAAACATCGTATCATATTATGTCAACAAATGTGACACACTATGGTGTTTAAAAAAAAACTGCATAGAGCAAATTTATTAGCCAGAGGAGTAAGTGAGTTTAGGGGGACGTGTATCTGAAGCCATGAGTGTTGTATGCTTGTGTGAACATCTGAAGAATAAGCCCGAGGAATCCAGTCCCCAAAACCAGCGCAGCCATAGTTCAGAATATGGATGTTAATTCATTCTGTGCGTCCCTCAGCTTGCTCCAGGAACCAGAACACAGGCAGGTCTGAGAGGGGGTGGGGTGTGGGGCAGAGCCTCAGTCGACGTAAGCATCCAGGAAGAATGTAGTCCACAGCTCTCAAGGCCATTGTAAGGGTGAGCCAAATCCTGTAATCATTTGTTTTGGGAAGAGAAGAGAATGTTCTGGATCCGGCAGACAATAACAATTTTCCATCTGCTTTAATGTCCGCTGGTACATCTCAATGTGGCGAATCCAATCAGGCAAATAGTGTGGGCAAATTCCGCCGAGCTATCAGCTTCTCCAAGATCAATTCCATCTGGCCAGCACAGTCCAGGAACTACAGCTGGCCTGCGATCCTCAGCAGAACTGCTTACAGACCGAGTCCAGCTCGCTCAAGGCAAAAGTCTGAGTGCTGATAGAATGACAATCCTTCATACTGGTCAGGCAGCCAGGAAATGAACAGCCACCGACGCTGTATTGTAGAACACCAGGAGACCACCAAGCCGATCTGTAGAATCCAGTGATCGGAATCCAAATATATATCCAGAACAGAACAGAGGTCCCACTTTTGACATGTCCTCACATGGAAGAAAATCTTTGTTCCAAAAATTTATTAAGAGACCAGCTAACCAAATCCATAAAAATAAAAATATCCATAATTTCTGGTTTTGGATGAAAACATAGAGAAGGCTCCAAGCAGCAAAGCAGGGAAGATAAGGAAGGGCAGGAGAGAAAGAAAAAGCGTCTCATGTTGGGGAAGAAAAAAACTGCTGTACGCCACATTTTTCTGCGATGAACTTGGGTCAGAAGTACCACAGCCATTTGTAACCTTTGTCCCCCTCACCCTCTGCCTTTATGTGTTCAATAAACAAGGAAATCCTTCGGTGCATACGTACTGGTGTTTATATGCATGGGGTCACACATACTGTATGTATTAAAATGATCACATGGGAACCAAGCAATCTCAAAACCAAGCTCCCTCTGGCAAAAACACACAGAATCCCCCACCTCAGAATATCCAGCTGTTCACTACAAACACTTACTGCCAAGACAGTCTGACCCGCAGAGAGGTTCAGAGGGAAATATATATATAAATATAGACAGTATATACAAATTGAACTTAATCCCTTTGAGTGTGTTTTTGTGTTTACTTGTATTTAGGAATTAAAAAAACGTGTTAAGTCCCTTATGCAAAACATTTCTTTTAATACAGTGAATATAATCATTTAATTAACCTGGCAAATACAGAAAATTTTTATCAGTGTTTGTTTTGTTGCCTTGTGCATGTTTGTGTTTGCACATAAAATGAAATTTAACCCCCCCCCCACACACACACACACACACACACACATTTAATTTGGGTTATCTGGGATTACCTCTGCAGCCATTTGTACAAATATTAACCTGCAGAAGCTGTTTGAGCACAAACGCACATACATGCTGCATGTAAATTTACTGATTTTTTTTTCAGTGAGGGTTACATTGATGACCTTGATCGCATTGATATCATGGGAGAAATACCAAAATAAGCCCTTTTAATCTATGTAATCATTGTTTTTTTCTTATGTTGAGATGAGAGAGGTCGTTTTCTGCAACAAAAAGAATCAGAGTTCATATCTTCAGAAAAGCTTTTGCAGATTGATGTACGAAAAATGTAATTTTGCTTATGTCAATAGCTTTTTCAACACATTCAGCAGTATTTATAAAATGGCTCAAAGTATAAGGTTGCAGCTTCTACAAGGAAATAAAAAGCTTATGTTGCACTTAGATCCAAGTGGTATTTTGCCCTGTTTTTATCAATTTTGCTCTTTTTTGTCTTTGCTATTTAATGCAACACTAAAAATATAAAACTGATTATGTTTTAAACCTTTAATGTCCAGAGAAATTTTATTGGCATCCTCTTATAGAGACATTGACCTCTGTTTACCTAAAGGCCCCATCACACTATACTATTTTATGCAACTGATGCCTACTTAAGATATTTTTATGACTAAATAACTCATTTATGTTCTATATTTGATCTAAATGTTATGATTGCAGTATGCATATGTTTAAAAGAGGCGTCCAGTTGCTGTTTTTATTTTTATTTTTTTATTCCATCTTCAGTGTAGACCTCTCCAAAGACAGACAAAATTTTCATAAGTTGTCCAAAACGTAGTGTGACAGGGCCTGTCATCTTTATTCAGGGACACTTAATTTAAATGTTTACTAAATGAAAAATGTAAAAAACTGACTTTTTTAAAAAAAAATTTACTTTGACTACTTATTGTTTGAAAACTAATCCAAAATAGACTTAAATTTAGTTGTTGACACATTGTTGAAAAATATAAATGCTGATTACTATAAAAAGAACTTATAAAATGTATTTATTTATACTTGTGATTTATTCTTTTTGTGCAGCTGTTTAAAGGTTTGAATTGCTTCCTCTAAAAAGTCATTTTTAATGAAATGCTCTCACTCGGTGTGCAAACACCGCTGCAGCATGACGCTGACTCTGATGTGTTTGTGTTTTCTCTTCAGGCGATGTGGCTACAGCAAAGCAAAACAGGATCCAGAGGAAGAAAAGATGCACTTCCACAATGGTCACAGTAAGTCAGGAGAGCCCAAACTCATTTTGCAGATTCTGTTTAGCATAAACAGTACGCGTGTAATGTCACTGTGCACACAAATGCGAGTTTATCGGAAGTTTCTGCTGCGTTTACAGCAGCGGGTTCAGACTCTGGTCATGGCTCTGTTTAACTTCATAAGCATGGATGTCTGCTACCAGTGCACATGTCAGTGATGAGTGCCAGCAGCTATTTTTTGAATGACATCCATGTTAGCAGAGGACACATAAAGCTATGATGCATTATGAGCTGTGACAGCTCAATATACTGTATTTGTTCATTTTGGCACTGCACTGTTATATCCATCTGTTGGTTTCAGAGCTATAATGGAGACATCAGCTTCAAGACAGAGAATAAAATAAAATAAAATAAAATAAAATAAAATAAAAACACCATTGGTCCAATAATGTGTGGAATATTGTTATGCTGATTTTGGTTTTGGATAAGCACATTTTAAATTAGATTATGTTACAAATCACACCCACAAAAATGAAAAAAAAAAACTTTTCAAGGGATATAAAAGGGTGTAAAATGTGTATTTAGTTTCTGGTTGCAGTATTTGGGATTCAGAAAGAAACTGAGTGAAGCCATTTTTTATTTATTTAAATTTACCAAATTACTGAATAGTTGTGTGCAACCAAAACCTGCTAAAATGATTAGTCAGTGCCATGTTTATTTCATTTTTTTTTTCTGCAGTAAAATTTCCTGGGGTGAGGACTTACATTGACCCACTTACCTATGAGGACCCCAACCAGGCAGTGCATGAGTTTGCACAAGAGATTGACGTTTCGTTCATCTCTATTGAGAGAATCATCGGCGCTGGTGAGTATGATCAGTGGGACTGTCTGTGTACTCCATAGATAGATTTTCATTCAGAACAAAGGCAGAAGATGATTTGGACGGAATAAGAAAGTAAACATGTTCTGTGTACTGAAATGACTGACCATCAAATAAAATACTTCCATTTTATACTTCATTATTTTTACAAACAATGTAAAACCTTTGTTATTACTGCTTACTTTGTGTGCCATAATGTTTCAAGTGTAGGTCAAACATTGCTTTTGATTTTAAAGGATTTGCTTAAAGTTTAACAATCCTTATTTGCAATTGAAGGTTGGCAGATAGTGGCCAAACTTAGTCTTTTTATTTGCCTCAGGGGAATTTGGTGAGGTCTGCTGCGGACCCCTGAGGCTACCTGGGAAAAGGGAGATCCAAGTTGCCATTAAGACCTTGAAAGCAGGCTACACAGAGCAGCAGAGACGTGACTTCCTGTGGGAGGCTTCGATCATGGGCCAGTTTAACCATCCAAACATCATCCGTCTGGAGGGGGTGGTCACTAAGAGTAAGCTGTTGGACAGATCTGCAATCTGTAGAATTTCCACTATTATTTGAGTTATGGATACAGTTTATGTCCCTATTAGTTGCATACCTGTCAATCATTGTATCATGGATATGAGTGGCTGACCATTAATAGCTTGAAAATCATACAAAAACATTTGCGCATAATCCATACCTCCCTAAATGTTTAGTTGTTTAAAATGTTTATATAGTGAATCAACATGAAATTGTTATTTTAACTTTAAAATAATGAAATTTAGTAATGTATGATTTTAGCTCAGAAAACCTACTGTAAAAATGGATGATGTAAACAAAATGTGTTGTATTAGCTGATTATATTAAATGATGAGATTGTGCTCTCCTTTTCAGGTAAGCCTGTGATGATCATCACTGAATACATGGAGAATGGATCACTGGACACATTTCTAAAAGTAAGAAGCAGCAAAATAAAACCTCAAAGGAGTCATGAGAAACTGAAGATAAATAAATGTGAAGCGAGACCAATATGTTAATTGTAGGAGGATACAGTGAAGTAATAGAAGCACTGTATATTAAGCGTATTTATTTCTCTCAACATGAGCAGAAAGGAGAAATAACTGAGTTGGATTATTAGCTTAACAAAAATGAACATGAGCCTGCTGGATGTCTGAACTGAGCCAATCATCTGTGTGAAAACAGAGCAACGTGTTTGATAATATTAGAAACATCCAGCATTAAATGAAAGCGACTCCTACATTGTTATAGATGATCAGTAAACGGCACAAATATTTCCAGTCAAGCTACAATTATTGCATTTTAACTACTTATTAGTCAGAAATTCTAACAGCATTTAACAAAAATTGATATTTGATGGTTATAATTTGGGTCTTTTGTGTCACAATTTCAAACAAACATAAATGGCATTTAAAGTAGTTATGCTGTATTTGAAGCGGTGATATTTTGAAGTTATGTACATGTTTGTTGAAATGCTGCCAAACTTGGTCCATTATGTTGTTTTGAATATAATTATTCATCTCTATGGATGTTTTAGTGTAGTTTTAATTCTACAAACATCCCTTTCTGAATCCAGTATAGGAAATGTCAAAAAAAAGTTTGTTCAAATGATGCTAAATAATTTAAAGTGTAGGTAAATGCATCAAGTTTAGTTACTTTGACATGGATTTTTTTTTTCCCAGAAAATGTGAGTCATTTGAACACTCAACACCAGAACAGTGTCTGGCCTGTGCAGACTAGACCTAATTTAATTTTAGAAATGAAACTGTATTAAAAAAAATCTGAATGGAAGATTTGTCTCCCCAGTCTATTGAGTGGTTACAATAGCAGAAGTCTCAGCTGGCACAGAAAACTAATTCCTTCATGAAAAGAGTAAACGTTTCTGAAGCAGATGCTTAATAAGGCAAAGAAGAAAAGAAAAAGGTCTTATAATTCTGGTGATGGTGCTGCTTTGAGGTGCAGGTTTCACTTTGAGGATGGAACAGATCAAAGCCTTCAGCTCAACACTGCGACTTTCTGGAAAAAAGGAGGATGCGAAGATGACATTCAGAAACAGCATTGTGGCCAGTGGAAACTGCTGATATAACTGTGTGCCGTGCCTTTGGTAATAAACCTTCATGGCAAGGGGAAAGCAGAGGAGATTGGGAACCAGCAGGTGAAGAAGCGCAGAAAACCCCGTGAAGTAATTACATGGATGGCTGGTGTTCTGAGGCTAGTATAAATGACACAGTCATGAGAAAACCACGAGCCGAACCTTGCCCCGGATTAGCTGTCACAGCTTCGGACAATGCACTGCAACCCTCATAACTCACATATTTGGTCTAACATCTCATTTCACATGTAAGTGGACTGTTCTGCTGTGGCTGATAAAAAAATGTGGTCGTGACGGAAACTGAGGTTGAAACCGTAAAGGGAAGAGTCGTGTTCTGCTACAGCTAGCGGGAGCTGAGGAAAGTTGGGAGAGTTTACATTTGGATCGGAAGGCGCTGAAGCTTAAACTAACAATGAGAGCTGTCATCAGGGAAGAAAAGCAAAGCCCCCTTTAAACATGCACGGCTTCCCGTTAATCTGACGGCAACTGAACACGTCAGCTTGGTCTGAAGGAGCATCCTGCTGCTCTTCTGAAACAATCTGAGATGACAATCGTCCTGGGTTGGAGCTAACGTGGCACCTGATCTACTTTTCAGGATAATCACATCAAACTTTTATATGTCGAGTTTTCTAACCGTGATTGTGAAAGATGGATTTTTTTGTATGAATGCCGAGTCATCTTGAATGTTTTTTTCTATCCAACTTCTGCTGAATAATTTGTTATWTAAGCTATTTATATATCAAAAGGTTCAGCTCATCCAGAAGAAGAGTGCTATAATTTTTTGTTTTTATTACCTTTTTTAATTTTTTGCCTTTATTTACAAGTATTTTATTTAAAGATGTGTTTTTATTTTTATTTTTTAATGCTATCTGTGAAATCTGCTGCTTTTAGTTTTTAACATTGTTTTGCTTTTGTCACTTTAAACATTTAATATTTTTTTCTTTGAGGTAATGTTACGATATTTTTAGCTTTTAACTAGCCTTTTGCTAGCTTTAGCTTTTAATTAGCATATTATTAATTTTAGCATCGCGGTAGGCTACTTTTAGGCTCTGAAAAAGCATTTTGTAACTTTCAACATGAGCTTTTAGCTAGACTGGCTGCTTTTGGCTAGTGTTTTACTAATTTAGTATTCAGCCTGCGTTTAGCTAATTTGGGACTTTAGCTAGTATTTTACCATTTTTAATTGTCGTTTAGCTCATTTTAGCTGGTGTTTTGCTGCTTTCATCTTTTACATTTTGCTAATTTTATATCAAAGCTAGCATTTATTTTTGTTTAGCTTTTAGATAGTGTTTTTTCTGCTTTATGGCTTTGGCTTATGTTCTGTTTGCTTTTGTTTTAACAGCTCAGTTTCAGCTGCTTCTGCAAATTTCAGTAAAGTCAGTCAGCACTCAGCATTCACGCTGCATTTTTGCAGAAAATGCTRTTTCTTTAGTTCTTACCTTTTTCTGTTGACAGTAATCAGCTTTCTTGCTGCACGCAGCAATAAAGTCCTCGCAAGTGGAAAGCCACAACACACTCCCATGATCGTGCCACCTGTTTAATAAACATAAACTTGTAGAAGAATGCTATATTAAGCTGTTGTGTCTAGCATCACAACAGTGTGCTTGTGTTTGGCTGACTTATGAAGTTTATAGCATACTGTTGTGAGAAAACTGACTCCCAAAGGGCTTAATAGAGTTTCAGGTCATGCTGCAGCTGTAGCTCACACTCAGTTATGACAATACTGACAGTGTCCCCAGGTATACTGAAATATTGCATTTTCCTTCTCAGGCTGAGAGGCTACGCCTGTTTCTGTAGTGCAATAAAACTGTAGACGCAATCAAAGTTCGCTAAAACACTTCAGTGAGCTTAAGTGTGAAGAAAAATTAGATCAAATTTCAGCTCAGCTTCAGTGATACTGCTACTGTATGTGCATTTGATTCTCATTTTATTTAAATATATAAAGTTACTATATAAAATGTATACAGTTTTTAGTGGGTTTTTTGTAACAGTTGCAACTTCAGAAAGTATGTTTGTTAAAGATGCTGATGGATATTAACACTGCCACTGCTTTATCAAAGTGCTGAATGATCTTGGGTGTGAAACTGTCGTCTCTTAAGGGAACATGAGGCCTTTTTGAGCAGAAAAAGAAAAAAAAATCTATACTTATAAATTAAAATCAAATGAGAGAAAACTGTTTAAATTATACTTCACTCTTTTAAAATGTTAAGAGTTAAAGGTGAGTGTGCAGAGTTGACTTTGGAATTGATCCAAACTGTAAGTCAATTAAGTTTGTTGTGCTCAGGGAGAGCTTGAAAAAAAAAGCATTCTTTGAACTGTTTCTTTTACTTCCATTGGCATTCTCTTTTTTTCTGTCTATTTCTTTCTGCTTTTTTATTTATTTATTTTTTCCTTGATTTAAGTTTGTCTTACTGACCCAGTCCAGTATACCGCTTACTTTCAAAACAATGGGCCTCATGCAAGAACATGTTCATATTCTTATCCTAAATTTCTCTTACTTTTGTTCGTACGAAGGGGTTGTACGAACATGTCACGTCAGATTCAACAAACTCTTCTATCTTCAGGAAAAGTGTGTAAATGAGCTGCGTAAATTCCACCTGTTCGTATCCAGCTGCTCGTGCACACGAGAGGAGATTAGCATAATTATCACCCCAAAAGCACCATATAAGGCTGTTTCCTGCCTCAGATATCAGGAAGTGTCCACTCATGTAAATGACAGCGAAAACTAAAAAGAACTTTACGAGTTCAGAGATTGAAGTCCGTCTGTCAGAGATCCAGAAAAGAAAATCTGTCATTTTTAGCAG